TGGTGCTATACCAAATGTTGGATATGACCAAATTTGAAGAGTTTGATTTAAGAGAAGTTGTTGAAATTTGACTGAAACTCTCTAATTATTATGAAGGAGAATTTGTTAGGTAATCAATGTGAGAATCCTATATGGAATAGAATTATATTGGAAGAGTTTTAATATACCATGAATAGGTATATTTGACATGTGACAGAAAATATAAAAATCAAGTCGTATCTAAATAGGATTCGGTTATAATATTTTATCCCTAAAAATAGGGGTGTGTATTATGTAATCAGTTACCAGATGACCAATTTTCAATAAATAATACATCGATGTAGATTTTTTATTCAATGAATAATACATTGATGTAAGTTTTTGGTCCATAGATTTAAATACGATGTATTAAGGTGTGCATGTTGTATCGAACCATATTATATCTTTGTGTCATATTTTTTATTATTTTTTTATTTTTGAATTCCTATATTCCAACAAGTATAATTTTTGTTACTTATTTGTTGTGCAAAATCAACAAGTAGTATCATAGTTATATTTCAACAAGTGATATCAAAGATATTTTCTAACAAGTCGCCTACGAGGTAAGGCGTAAACTTATATTTTTTAAGTTTAATTTAACTACAAAAAATTAGGTTTATTTGACACTAGTGATTAACAAGTGATTGTATGTGCTGAGACTTATCATGTAAGTTTAAGAGGTAGCTTAAGTGATAACAGAAAATACTGAATTCAAATTTTGACAATTTTTTAAAACCAGACCATGAGATTTATCTTTAATGAATATCCTAATTTCAACGTGAATGGTCTATCTTTGACTGGACTTGAGAGGAGATTAATCGAGTTTAACATAAACTAACCTAAATACCTCTTGCTCGTTAAAAAAAAGACTTATCATGTAGCTATGAATTAAAAAATACATAATTTAAAGGATTCTCAACTACAAAAGAAATAAAAATTTAAATGGCCTACAAGTTGCCATTCACCATGGTTCCCCCTCCCAAAAAAAAAATATTACAGTAAAAACCCACTATTTCTTTTTTCTTTTGTTTTTTTTTTGGGTGGGGGGGGGGGGGGGGGGGGGGGTTGTTCTTTATATAATGTAAGCCCTGTAATTGGTTGAGAAAAAAAATTGCCAGGTGTAAGGAAATGGACACGCAAGCACCAATTTTTTTTTTTTTGCATCATCTTATACTACACATCACGTGGTAGCATTACCCAATAATAATATTTCACATTTACAAAAAATAATTGTTCAATCGTATTAGTTCTGTCGAGTATACATACAAGATGCATAGTATTGTAATTGTTATGTGATCTCCATATTTATAAAATATAGGATTTTGCTTAAACTCTTTAAGCTCCTTATTTTAAAAAATATAACAATGGTCTAGATTATTTAAACCCAATCCAACGGCTCTATGGTACTTACTTTGACACCATACTATAATTTTTTGTTAGATATTAATCTTGTTTTAATATATTTGTAAACGTTGATCGTAAAAATAAAATAAAATAAAATTTTATTTATTGCATCAGAAAATTTTGATTGGAAGTTTTAATTTGACCTAAAAGTAATCTGATTTTTCATGTACAGTATAAATATTATATTTTAAAACATCATTTTACACACAAAACAAGTTGGATGCTTTGAAAGGACTTGTCCCAATAGTATTGATCTTGTCACGATGTATTTAATGGGCGTGCCTTGGATATGAGCATAGTTTAATGTGCCAAAAAATAATGTCCCAATTTTTTGACTGAAAATATAAGTGCAAGGCGCTTCATCTCGATAAATGAGCACGCAACTTAGATAATTGTTGACCATTTTTTGCCTTTCATCTTTCGTTTTATGTTTAAAACAATTTCTTTTTTTTAATAATTAGAAATTGATAAGAGTGAAATTTTAGAAATTGGCCGCCACAACCTATGAGTCCAATACACCTTAAGAATCCAAAAGCAGGGACTTATTGGCCCAAAGAGGTGTCACTGGTTAGCCCACATCAGAAGCAGAAAGGATAAAAGCCCAATGGCTCCAAAGGACCAATATTCTAGCTTTGACCCAATCCATTACCAATTGAAAGACCGTCCGAGAAAGAGAAGTCGAATCTTTGCCCTAAAAACATCCCACCATGCCACGCATCCAAAAGACAAGAAGACCATCTCTGAAACCTATGATAGTTACACCCTCCCAGACACAGAGGATGGTGGCGCGTAACGATCTAGAGATCGTGGGCACAGTAGAGTCGACTAACAAAGGCTTTTGCAGGACAAAGACAGGAGATTCCCACAGGATCAGCAAATAGGTAAAAAGAGCCACCAAGAACCCTATGAAGGATTAATATAAATAAAACAGTGTAAACCTACCCAAAAGGATCTTCCTCTCCCCAAGAGATACATCTGCCCTAGATACAAAACAAACAAAGCTTAAGCCCCTATAAAGGTTCAGTGCCAACGATTCTGATATACTCACCCGATTCTAATACACGATCTTAAGGAGCAAAAGACTCTATTACAATGGATGTAGCCTTGATTTTTCGACTAATGCGAACCACTTACATATTGAATCTTTTTTCATTTACAAATCAACCACATATCCGATTGAACTCACTAATTCAGGTGACAATTCATTAATCGGGCTTGAGCTATTATTTCTGTGACACCATCATAAACATTTTGTTAATTAATGCGTATGTTGACTAATCTCTTCTCTAATCTAGTCAAATATAGATTATTTACACCAAAATTAAAATATTTATAAAAAATAAAAATATCTAAATTTATAATTCGTTACTTAAACTATTAAATAATTCGGTCAAAACGATACCGCTCCCAAAACCGTATCGTTTTGAAAACAGAATCCCAGAGGATCCCGAGTCGTAAAAGGTTTAGGATATTTCCGGGAAAAAGTTGAAAAAGAGGTCTCGTTTGTTTTGATGACAACATCATTGGCAGCCAAAAACAAAGGTATGATAACAGCTGTAATTGTAGATATTTTTTTCCCGTTGGTTTTTTCTTTTTCAGTACAGCTGGCTTGTAGACCCAAGGTGGCAAAATCTTACCGACAACGCACACACCGGTCCAAACCTATTTTGACCAGATTCTTACCCTATTGATTGTCCTATTTCGGGCTATGAAAGGTCAAACTTTAACCCTTGCTCCAGCTCAATTTAATTTTCAAACTTTATGCTGAAAATTATGAGTTCGAATTTAAACTTAAGCTTAATACATCAAATCACTTAATAAACTAAATGTGCTACTTTATTATTTTTTATTATTTAAAATATTATATATATTATATTATGAACAAATCAAACGCAAGGTCTTACCATCCGACAATCATTATTCCCACTTGTTTTAAATGTTAAACGAGTTTAAAATTTTGATTAAAAAAATCTGGGAATTAGAATACTAAATTGGGAGTAATCATGAATACAAAAAGTTGGACTTGATTGAAAATCGTTACAGCTTGACATCACCTAGGACATCCTTTGCTTGTTGAGATCATAAATTCCCAAATGATTTTATTCATCTAATAATACAGATAAATAATAGTCAAGATTAATCTAATTTTCATTTATTTTAATTTAATGGTAAAAAAATTCATCCCAAAACTTTTTTTGCTCCTCAAAAATATTTTTTTCCTGTGCACAACCCCTAATGTTAAACAATTCAATCGACACAATCCTCAATCATTAATTCATACATACATCTCTCTTATTTTCTCTTTATTCGCTTTAATTTTAAATTCACCATTGGATTGGTGATATCTGAATGAAAATATTTAACTTAAATGAGTGTATAGCGCATGATCAAAATGAATAGTGATTAAGGTCTAATATTTACATTTATTATTGGGAAAGATTAACTATTTAGTTAATAAAGTTTGATAAATAAAGTAATTTATTTGAGAATTAATGTTATGCTAAGAAAAGATGAGTTCTGTTAATTTTGCAAGATAATAACATAAAATTAGAGGAAATTAAGGAAAGATGAAGTATAGTTGAGGAGGAAGCATATTGGTATGCGCGTCCGGACAGATAAAGAGTGCACGTCCGGACGCGAGTGGCAGAAAGTTGAAAGGCTGATGAAGGAGTATTCTGGAAGTCGCATCCGGAAGCGTGTCAATGGTCTGCCAACGCCAGATTAAGGTTTCAATGCAATTCAATTTTCTCTGCAATGAAGTTATAAATAGGAGTTGAAGACCTTGTTAAAGAACTATCTTTTGCTTAAGAATTTGATTTTATTTTTATTTTTAAACTTTACTAATCATGTCTAGTTAAAAGCCTAAGTTAGGGTTAGGGAAGGACCTCTCAATGAAGTATGGTAATATTATTGACTTCTGAGTTTAATGATATGTGATGTTTTGTTAATTCAACTTTCGATTTCTTAGCAAAGTTTTTGCTCCGTAAAAATCCTTGAGTCATTGTGCCATGTACATTGATTGTTTGAATTTCTCTGCGAGTAAATAACTGGTTATTCCACGTTTAAGTTGATTATCATTATTTCACAGAATAATATAATTAGATGGTTATTCAGGTTCCTGAATAATCTTTTGATTATAAATTGTGGTTTTATTGCTTAATTTGATGACTTGAATCAATTGACGTTTGACTCTGGTCTAGAATTAAGAATTAAGTCTTTAATCATTATTGTACAGAATAGAAAGGGAGTACCTGATGCTCTAGTATTTTTATTATATTATTTTAATTACTTCAATCAATATTTTTAACTCAACAATCTCTTAAACAAATTGTTCTTACAAGTTTGCTTTAGTATTTGTGTGATTGCTGCTATTTTACAATTCCCTAAGGGTTTGACCTCGGTCTTTCGAGAAATATATTACTTCTTTCAACCTGCGCTTGAGTTTACATAATTAAAGTTGAAGCAAATGGCAAAGACGGACTTATATATAGCCGACCCCAAATGATTGGGACATAAGACTTGGTTCGGTTTGGTTTTGTTTCGTTTGTTTATTGGTGATATCTGAATGAACATAGGAACTAACACACAATCTGCCAAAAAAACAAAAAAATCATAGCAAGCAATAGAAAGAAATGCAAAGTAAGCAGTCCGACCTTTACAATAATGATGGCTATGACCCCAAGCACAATAAGGAAGAGTAAGGCCATAATACAACGATCAGTTGCAACCTAATTCAGGAATCCAAGTAAGTCAAAGAGAAACCAAAATAGACAATATACACAACACATAAATGTGTGTACCTGTGTATGAAGAGAGGAGGGTGCGAATATTTCAGAGATTGACCTGCCTACCAATTTCCTTGACCAGCTGAGAAGCCTTCTTGATTGAGAAATGAATAGAATCTAGCTCATTAACAATCCTGCTCATTTGTTCAGTCTGAATATTTATGAAAAATGAGATGCTTCAGTTCCAAGAAAATTTAAATGAAGATGAATATCGCACATAGAATATAATCTTCCTAGTGTACAGTCAAATGACAGACCTGTGCCTTGAGAGCTGCCGCAGTCTCTGTTCCAACATTTACTGTGTCGTGGACAACCTATTACAAACAGAAAATGCAAAATTACACTTTACGACAATTGAAAACCAACTTTCCAACCATTCTGCTACTTCCTTTAAGTCTGTTTTCCTTTTTCCTGTGGGCAACAAGGGGAAAGCATATCACAAATGTTTTTTAAGAAAGGAGCATGGTTTGGCATTGTTGCTTCTAGTACGTAACATTGGGAAAAGGTCCATTTATGTTGGACAAATTGCTGAAAGGAAAAGTGATTATTAATATTTTAGCATTCTGCAGAACCCACTTAGATTCCAGGATTATGCACTTCTGGTGCCACTAATTCATTCCTTGTATATGCCACATAAGGTCAGAGAAGCTTTCGTTGCCTATTTTCTCCCTATCCTTTTCATGCACACAAAATGGGCGGAGTATGATATGGCAAGAAGGATCCACCAGATGCATATCTCAGAAATAAATGCATCCTGTATTCTTCCGTGCAAAACAAACGATTCAGTAAACAAAATATTATTTCCTGGCGGTTTAGCATTTGTGAACACAAACAGCAATTAAACAAGATGCTGTAATGTAGCATCTTTTGTGTGCCTTCATGACCTGCCTTGTGGCCACATCCAAGGATATCAAGAGATTTGCATTTTTTCTCTTACTAGGGCAAGGACAATAATCTAGGTTATTCGCTGGAGTTCTTATACCAGTATTCCCAAACAGGTTGCTCAATCTCACCAAAAAAACAAAGAACCACTGGATAAGAACACTACAAAAGATCGAGTTTTGATAACTGAGTAACAATTATGCCAAAAACAGTTCCAAGAGAAAGAATGTGAATTTGATAGTAAATTAAACGAACTGAACCCCCAACAGAGAGATGACAAAAAGCTCATATATCCTTATCAAATAGACACAGTAACAGATATTCCTTGGCAATAGGTGGGGAGTAAGATGTTTTTTTTTACCTTTTACGTACTAACCTTTTTGGATCTCTCAATGGCTTGATCAGTCTCGTCCATCATGTGATTTCCATGGTCAATTAGCTGTTGATTCGCCATAGCTGCAACGCAAACATACTCGCGTTCAGTCCACAGAAGAGTAAAAACGTGAAAAACGAAATCATAGCTAACACATAACATTGTTTGCTATGTCAGATGCAAGTCAGAATGCTACAAGGCCAGCTTTAAAAAGTGTTCTTTCACTTCGGCATTAGATATAAATGAAATAGGCCCTATTTATATGAAACCATAATTTAATCAAGAGAAGAAGCAAAACAACCTTGATATCAGGATCATTTCTCCAATATAAAGACAACCCAAGAAAAATATCTTCCTTCCAAGTGAGGAAAATCTTCTTTGATACTTAAACAGGTATTGAGGACATGTCATGTGAGTACATAACATATCTCCCCCATCTTCATCTTTCTTTTTCCATAAATCCTGTCATTAGTTGCCTCTACACATTCCTGACAAAGCAAGCCCCAAGGGCAAAGGCCACCTTTTCTCTCCTTCATCTTTGCATAGAAATCGTAAAATAACCTAGGAAAAAGGAAGTGAAGTGCATGAAACGTGTCTATCTCCCTATTTTAGAGTGCATGAAACTCTTGTCTACCCCCTTACCCTCACCGTTCTCCTATTCTCCACATCATAGGCAACCCATCCACAACAGCATGCCCCACATCTAGTTATATAGCCCCACTCTTTTTCCCAATAAGAGCCATTTTCTAGTCCAAATATTGGTTCTATTTACAATGGCCGGGAAGATGACCGCCATTCTAATTATAATGTCATCACTAATATTAGCAAGAAGCACTCACAAAGTAGATATAACTTGCATGTTTCACTCAAAAGAATCTGGATTATCTCTGTTTATCAAGATGAATGACAAATTGGAGAACCAAGTAAAAATCAGGTCTCAATTTGGTGATTTCTATCAGATTAGTGAGATTATGATGATTCACGCCAACCTGGGGTAAACCGTTGAGAATCATGAATTTCTATCTCATCCTTAGAGAAGGAGATCTTCTTTAATACTTAAACAGGCCTGAGGGTCATTTCATATGAGTCTATAACTTATATCTCCTTTTGTCATCTTACTTTTTCATAGATCCTATGGTATAATTGTCTCTGCAATACACCCACACTATGCGATCCCCNGTGATTTCCATGGTCAATTAGCTGTTGATTCGCCATAGCTGCAACGCAAACATACTCGCGTTCAGTCCACAGAAGAGTAAAAACGTGAAAAACGAAATCATAGCTAACACATAACATTGTTTGCTATGTCAGATGCAAGTCAGAATGCTACAAGGCCAGCTTTAAAAAGTGTTCTTTCACTTCGGCATTAGATATAAATGAAATAGGCCCTATTTATATGAAACCATAATTTAATCAAGAGAAGAAGCAAAACAACCTTGATATCAGGATCATTTCTCCAATATAAAGACAACCCAAGAAAAATATCTTCCTTCCAAGTGAGGAAAATCTTCTTTGATACTTAAACAGGTATTGAGGACATGTCATGTGAGTACATAACATATCTCCCCCATCTTCATCTTTCTTTTTCCATAAATCCTGTCATTAGTTGCCTCTACACATTCCTGACAAAGCAAGCCCCAAGGGCAAAGGCCACCTTTTCTCTCCTTCATCTTTGCATAGAAATCGTAAAATAACCTAGGAAAAAGGAAGTGAAGTGCATGAAACGTGTCTATCTCCCTATTTTAGAGTGCATGAAACTCTTGTCTACCCCCTTACCCTCACCGTTCTCCTATTCTCCACATCATAGGCAACCCATCCACAACAGCATGCCCCACATCTAGTTATATAGCCCCACTCTTTTTCCCAATAAGAGCCATTTTCTAGTCCAAATATTGGTTCTATTTACAATGGCCGGGAAGATGACCGCCATTCTAATTATAATGTCATCACTAATATTAGCAAGAAGCACTCACAAAGTAGATATAACTTGCATGTTTCACTCAAAAGAATCTGGATTATCTCTGTTTATCAAGATGAATGACAAATTGGAGAACCAAGTAAAAATCAGGTCTCAATTTGGTGATTTCTATCAGATTAGTGAGATTATGATGATTCACGCCAACCTGGGGTAAACCGTTGAGAATCATGAATTTCTATCTCATCCTTAGAGAAGGAGATCTTCTTTAATACTTAAACAGGCCTGAGGGTCATTTCATATGAGTCTATAACTTATATCTCCTTTTGTCATCTTACTTTTTCATAGATCCTATGGTATAATTGTCTCTGCAATACACCCACACTATGCGATCCCCAAAAGCTATCTTTTCTCTCCTTAATCTTTCCATAGAAATTTAAAAAAAAAAAAAACAAAGAAAAAGGAATTGAAGTGCATGAAACATGCCTATCCCCATATATTATTAGAGAAGTGCATGAAATTGTTATCTATCCCCTTATCCTCACCCTTCTCCTATTCTCCACAGCACAAGTGATTCATTCACTACAACGTGCCCCACATTTAGTTATACAACCCCCTCCCTTCCCCCCATAAGAGCCAGTTTCTCTGCTACCAGATACTGGCTCTACCCCTAATCTCTCATCTCCTCCCACATTTACACTCATCTTTTCTCCACCACTACAATTAGAGACCATCTGCATGCTGCGTAATGGAATAGTTTAGTGACAGTGTGACACACAAAACAATAATGATGTTTCAACAAGATAAATATTTTTAAATCAAACATGCAGTTATTCATACGATTATTGATGCCACAAGGTTAAACTGATAAGCTGATGAGTGATGAATAAGAACTGGATGCCAGTTCAGGGTAGCATTTAAATCCATATGTAAAATCTCCCATTCATAGCATATAAAACCCTCAAGAGTTATAATAACTAAACTCTATTTGCATACTAACAAGAAAACCATATGCTTACATGAAGCTAGCAAGACATTGTCTTCACCAAGCCCTTCCCCAGGCCCCTCAAAGAGATCAACTCGCTTGTTTTCAAGATTGCTAGCATACCTAGATCGCCATCCGTTAAATAATGTAAACACAGCTTGGTATGAAATTCAAAGAATGAGGTCAAATAAGCACATCAGAGCGTAAGTAAAAGACAAAGAACATCTGTACAAAAAAATTATGACAAACTACACATGAACAGAAAATTATAGCCCATTTCCTACTGAAATATCTTTTAGCCAAAAACTATGATTTACAGACTGAGAATATCATTAGCTACATTGTAGAATAGATAAGGTTTTGAAGTTCAAACCTTATCAGTGAATTATCCATAAGCAAGCCCAACAAAGAACAAAAGATAAGTTTGAGGTATGGCAGATAGTTTAGGAGTCACTTCATGATATGTTTTTGCTAGATAAGAATACTTTGTTAACCATAGTGACCCAGCCTCCACACTTACCCAGTCCCCAATCATACATACTTATGTATATGCACTTTATGAATTTACACAACTTTCAAAGGGAATCTTGAGAAGCTTCACAAAGCAGAATAACGTATGCAACTAGAACTTACTGCTTTTTAAGAGCAACATACGAATTCAACTCTTTAACCTGCAAAGAAATGGCACAACAGGAGTTACAACAAACTAAATGCTTTGCAGTATCTAATAGCAACTAGAATCGAGGAAAAAAAGTCCACCATTGATTGCTTTTTATCATTCAACATCTTGTTGGTGTCTGGGTCATTTTGGTACTCCATGTCCTTCGGTACTCCATGTCCTTTGCTTCTCTATCAAACTCTTTAACAAGCCTGGCAAGACAATGAATGATCATTGAGAGAGAGAGAGAAGAAAAAGAAGAAGAAGAAGAAATACATTCACATACCAAACCTAGACTTATGTCCCAATCATTTGGGGTCTGTTATATGAGTCCGTCTTCGCCATTTATTTTGATCATGCGCTATATACTCATTTAAATTAAATATTTTCATATATTTTCTTATTATTTCGTTCAACGTTAATTTAGGTTTACCCCTACTTTTAGTACCATTAAGAGAAATTTTATCATTTTTTCGAATCGGTGCCTCTATTGGCCTCCGTTGAACATGACCAAACCATCTTAGTTTATTCTGTCTTTACTTATCCTCAATTAGAGTTATTCCTATCATTTCTTTAAATACGGTCATTTTGTTTTCTATCCTTTCTAATTTTTTCACACAATCACCTTAACATTCTCATCTCCGCTACACTCATTTTGTCACTATATTGTTTCCTAGTTGCCCAACATTTAGTCTCATACAATATTGTTGTCTTTATAATTGTTCGGTAAAACTTACCTTTCAATTTTATTGATATAATTCTATCACATAATATACCAAAGGCTTTCCTCCACTTAAGCCAACTGTCATTGATTCTATGAGTTACACCATCTCCAATCTCTCAATTATTTTTAATGATCGATCCTAAATAGATAAATCGTTTACTCGTTGGTATTTCTTGATTTTCAATCTTAACTTTTTTACTATGTCTACTTCTTCTATTACTAAAATTGCATTGCATATATTCAATCTTACTCCTACTTATTTTAAACTCTTTCGACTCAAGTGTCTCTCTCCAAATTTTTAGCTTATTGTTAATCCTTCTTCGAGTTTCATCTACTAATACAATATAATCTACAAATAGCATACACCGTGGGATGTCAACTTGAATGTGCCTAGTGAGTTCATCCATAATTAGGGCGAATAGGTATGGACTTTGGATCGATCCTTAGTGTAATCCAATCGTGATTAGCAATTCTTTATTTTCTCACACAAAATACCTAATTGTAGTCATAGCCCTATTATTCATGTCTTTTATCACCTCAGTATACCTATTCATCATTAATTTTCTCTCAAGCACCCTCCATATTATATTTGTAGACACTTTATCATACGACTTTTCTAAATCTGTAAATACCATATAGAGTTCTTCTTTTTATACTTTTCTACGAGTGTCTTCAATAAATATATAATCTTCATAGTTGATCTACTCAGTATAAACTCAAACTAATTTTTCGACATTATACTCTCAACGCTTACGCGACGTTCAATGACCCTTTCCCATAATTTCATTGTATGACTCATCAATTTTATCCCTCTATACTTATTACAATTTTGAATATCTCCTTTATTTTTATAGATAGTTACTAAAATACTCTTTCTCCATTCATCGATTATTTTCTTGGTAGCAATAATTCTATTGAATAATTTCATTAGCCACGACGCCCCCTCAAGCACTTCCAAACCTCGATTGGAATCTCATCCGATCCTAAAGTCTAGCCTAATTTCATTTTCTTCGATACAAACTTTACCTCCGATTTTTTTATTCTATGAAAGAACATTTCATAGATCCTACCATTTCCTATATCTTATAAGTTTCCTTTGTGATTTTCATTTAATAGTTTTTTAAAATAGTCTTTCCATCGATCATTTATTTTCTCATTTTTAACTAAAATCTTTGAATCCACGCCCTTGATGTACTTAACTTCGTCAAAGTCTCTTATTTTTCTTTCTCTAATTTTAGTTATTTTGTAAATGTCTTTTTCTCCCTCTTTGTTATCTAGTTTTTTGTACAACTCATCGTAAGTTTTTAACTTAACGTCTCTAACTATCTTTTTAACCTCCTTGTTACCTAATTTATATCTTTGAAAGTTCTTGTTATTTCTATCATTTTGCCATTTCTTAAAGGATTCACATCTTTACACAAAATACTTTTCTCAGACTGTTGACAGTAGTTATGTAGGAATTATGTTTGCCTTTCCTTCCAGAGCTTAAAGAAAAGCTCCACAGATCCCTTCATGCTCTTTTCCACTTCTGCAACAAAAGGTTGGTTTCTCTTATCTTAACTAGTTTTGTACAGACTATGTGGGTCCACAAATTGAAATTCTGCCCCCAACACAACACTATCAATCAGTTTCCTGCATACCTATCTGTTAGCATGCATAAAATACTATCAACTCTAACATTTACCAATACTTTACCAAATATGTGACTCTAGAAATCTGAATTACCATTATTTTAGATTCTTACTACTAGAAACTTCCAAATTAATTCTTAATATCATTACTTCCTCAGTCCTATCAGCTGACAAAATATAGCGATACGAGAACATGAAAAAATAGCTTAGACACCGTACTAGAAGTTAAGAGCCAAACAGGATAAACAAATCTTAGATTCAAAATTTCCAACATAATCAGAAAAAAACTTCCAACATAAAGGATTGTTAGGGATGACTTAGACACGGTACCACATGTCATTCACTTGTACGGTCCCAATTTGGCCAAAGGAATTACACATAAAAAGACTTCATCTGATAGAACAGAATTATGATGTCCTTCAAATATGGTAACCATTTTGACTCAAGCAAGTAATTACACATAAGTCCTGCACCACAATTAGAAAACATCTTGTATTAAATTCTCCAAGAGGGAAATGATTAGTAATTCAGCATACCTCTTGCACTCGCGCATCTGTCCTGTCAACTCCTCCAACTGCCTACTCTGCCTGTTGGAGTCCTTCATCTTTTCCAATTTCTGAAACCCATTTCTGCAACACAACAAATTAGTTGCATCATCCACTCGAATAAAAAACTATATCCACTTCCGAAACACAAATAGATGCATTCACACAACAACCAAAAAAATAAATATCTATCAAACTAAGCTACTGCCATCACATAAACTAAAAAGAACAGTTATCTTCCATCTTCTAGTTTCCAGAAACGAAACGCATTTTCACAGAACCATTCAATCACACCACGAATTAAAATATCATAAGAACCGAAAGGCAAACAAAAGTATTGAAAATGCTTATGATAAGGCTCGGAATATATCGGCAACTTGTCCATCGATGTCCGCCAGCTCATCGCTGATTGCAGATAACGAAGCCATTTCACAATCACAACCTCAATAGCCTTTGCCTCTACTTTCCTTCTAAAACCCCTCTCTATAAAACAAACATCAATTTTCTCAATCTACCACCAAAAGTTACAGCAATGCCAATCTCCAAATCCCCAAAACTCCTCAAAATGTCAAATCAAAAACCACAACCACACTCCTCCGATCAGATTCAAACAATGCCGCGACGAATTTGAAATCCGAACGATGTCCAACTCTCAATTACATATAAAACATAACATAAACGTTACAAATTCAAGAAGATTCAATAACTGAATTATAAATTTCGAATTCTCCGATCGGATTCGAACAATGCAGGTCTGATAAACATGGATCCGATCGAAAACCTAGGGTGTATGTCTAAGAACGGAGAGGTATGAGACCGATGAGCTGTTCTGCTGATTTACAGACATTTTTCTGGATTTTTATTCTTTTATTTTTAGATTTTATTCATTGGAAGGTTTGGGGGGTTTAGAGATGTTTAAAAATTGGCCGATACCTCCCACCGTTTAAACCACCAACAAGCATCTTTCTACTTAAGTGGGGTCGATCACCCGTTTCCTTGCGGGCGTTTCGATTCTCTGGGGCCGGTTTTTGTTTATCAGAGACGTCTGGGATTTATTATTCGTTCGTTGAAATTAAAAAAGTTTAAACTTAATGTATAATATTTTTGAATAAGTGGGTCCAAGTAAAAAAGTTGACGCGAGTTACACATCTAAAAAATAATATATACTTAAAAAGTTGAGTGGGTCCATTTTCGTGACCCCTTTTTCTGCTAGGCCGGTCTTACCAGGCAGAAGCCCATCTTTGATTCCTTTTTTGTAGAGTAAATATTTATATATTTATAATATAAAATAAGTTATATTTTAATAAGTTCATTTAACGATTTTAAATAGTAGCGGTTATTAAAATCTCTCTTAAAATTATTCACATTGAATTTTTCTCCCTCCAAATCGATCACTTTTTATTTACGTTGTAATATGTCTTCGGTGCATGAGAGTTTATTGAAATTGGAGCCAAAAATATGCATTCACTTCTCACTTACGTTATACTGTGTCTTCGATGCGGGCATATCTTTTCATGACTTCTATCTTCTCTTCTCTCCTCCTTTAATTTATGTTTATACTCTCTCCGTTCTTAAATATTTGTCGTTTTACACAATTTTTTTTGTTCCATAATAGCTGTCATTTAATGAAATCAAAACATAATTAATATTTTTTTTTTCCAAATTTACCCTTAACTTTTCGATGCATTAGATTTGGTGGAAGTTAAGTGTCTTTCATATTCCTTTCATTCCCAATACGTATTGAATAATGGTATTTTAGTCTTGTGCAATTATTTTTTACTCATATTGGAGTTATTCAATAACTTCCTTAATTCCTGTGCAAAAACCTTAACCGACAGATATTTAAGAACGGAGAGAGTAATTATTTCTCCCTCTTCTCTCTTCTTTAATGTCTCTCTTATCTATTTTCCATTCCACTACTTCTCTTTTCTCTCCTCTGTCTTCCCTCCTTTTAATTTTTTTCTCATATATATACTTTTTATTTCTTTCTCTAACTCTATTGTTCTTCTCCAATATATCATTTATTTATATTTTTCTCTCTCCTCTATATTCTATATCACTCTTTATTTGTCATATTTCTTCTCATATCTCTCTTATCTTATTTAATTTTTTGTCTCTCTTTATCTTATTTTTTTTATTTAGCTATTTATCTATCCTCTCACTTCCTTCTATTTTCTTTATTTTATCTCTTTTTTCACTATGTGTTGTTGAGAAATTGTATCAATCGTTGCCTTTAAAAAAATCATTCATAGTTGGTGTAAATCTGAAGAATGCATGGCATTGATGTTATTTGCGCAACTCATGTTGGCAATATTTATTGAATTCATCAGTAATAACCATGTGAACTCATTTTCTTCCCAAATTAGGATACTCTCTCTCTCTCTCTCTCTATCTCTCTTTCTCCCTTTATATATATATATATATATATAGTGTTACATTGACAATCACATTTGAAATCATGTATTATGAAAATTTAATATTTTTATTCATTTTTATTGTGGAATAGACATTTAAGTAACTATTACTGACCTTGACAATAATATTAGCGTTGTCGCTATCTCAGGAACAATAATGATAGAGTATTTTCATTATCGCAGGACAATAACAGAGACACTATTACTATATTTGATAATAATGTCCCAGAGATAGTAACAGTTGAATCATTTCATTATCCCAGTACAGTAACAATTGGCTTGTTCACTGATACAGGATAATAACAGTGATGTTATCATTATCCCAAAAAGTGACAAATATATATATATACATGCACCCTAGTGTTGTAATCTACATTTTTTTTGCATATATATAAAATTTGAAATGTGAATTTTACATGGATAATTTAATTATGAAAAATTTAAAATTAGGGAGATTTGATTTTGTTTGAATTCGGATCGTGTGTTTTGAATAGAGTTGTTTTTGTCTTTGTATACATGATTGTCCTTAAAATCCCCAAAAGTTTTCGCCTACATTTCTTCTCTTAAAAGTTCATAAATGTGGATCAACTTCTAAAAAATCTAAATATTTATTCATGGCAATGGTGGTATCAGTGACATGTATGCAAATACTCTATAATATCAACAATTGAGTATTAATCCTGTAATATTTATAACTTAAATAGAATTTTATTAAAAATGAGAAAAAAATAAGAAAGAGGTATAAGAGAAAAAGAGAAAGGTAGGTTTGGATTAATAGGGTTATCTGGTATTTGAAAGTATGTTGATTGAGTTGATATATATTAGCAAGAAAAAAAATTGAAATAAATTTTATACCATTAGATTAAAGTATGTTAAGATTTGCATGTATAAATCATGTAAAAAAGTTGATAAAGTCTTAATATTCTTTGAATAGGTTTTTTATTTACCAAATCAAATAGGAAATAAATTGAAAGAATTTTAATATACCAACATATTAGTTGTGTGAAAAGAAATATAAATATTAAGTTGTATCTGAATAAATTTGAGTTACATTATTTTATTTTTCTAAATAGTATTAAATATTATGTAATCAATTATCAGAAAATCATATCTCAGTAAATAATATATCGATGTAGTTTTTTTTTTGTCCATGTAAATACAGTATATCGAGATATGTATGCTGTATAAAACTATGTTACATATTTATGTCATATTTTTATTATTTTTCCTATCTTGAATTTTTATTTTCTAAGTTATGATATTGGTGTTAATTATTCGATTTACAAAATTAATAAATTGAATTAATCTTTCCCATTGTCATATATATATATATATATTTTAAATAGAGAATTCAACTCAACACAAATATATTTTCCATGTCATTCTAAGACACTACGTCAATGTCAACCAGGATGGCTAGTTAGTGGTAGTTCAGCTACTTGATAAGTACTTACGATACTAGTTGTTAGGATTTCACTTGGTAAGTACCTCAGTAGATTCATAGTGAAGGAGTTATCTACGGTACAAAAAAGTAAAAAATAAAATTATATTGATATTTATTAGTTTTATGAATATTTTTATTATTATTATGTATCAAAAAAAATAATAAAAATAGTTACAACAATAGTGATAAAAACATTCCAAAAAATGGTAAAAAATATTTGAAATGGTAAAAACAATTTTCAAAATAGTAATAAAAGCAGCTGGCAAAGTAAAAAATTTTTTTATTATAAATAAAAATACACATTAAAATAGTAAAATTTAAAAATATCGTATAATTATTATTTTTTGTACGGAAATGCAGTCCAATAGTGAATTTCGTGTAAAGGTGTATATGACATTTACGGTTTATTTGACGTGTGAAAACTCGTATGGTAAGTAATGTTATAGAAACTTAATTTATTTAAGTAATAAGTAAACCTATTCTAATTGAAAAAATGAATCAAAAATTAAAATTAAAATAGATGACACTATAATAACAATATTTGAATTATATTTTTAGTTATTTAATATTTAAAATTTACTTATCATGTTAAATATTAAATTTTTTGGATTATATTTCTACGGCAATTTTTACTAATCTATGAGTAATATTAGATGGACTTAAAAAGTAGACTTGATAATTCCAACTATTGAATAGATAGTGAGTTCCAATAAATGATATCCACAGTAAAATCAATGATTATAATTATAAAATCTAATTTTTAAGTTTATTTTTTAAATTCATGTAGCATTGCTCTTAATCTAACATCACTCATAAGAAAACATTTCTTTAAAGTCACGATGAATTTTTATCTCTTTTTTAAAATTACGATGAATTTTAATCTCGTTTATTATCAGCGGGGATAGTCTTTTTAATATAAGTCGAAATACACACAATACAAAAGTCGTCGGTTCAAAATCCCACGATCCAAGGAGTAATGCCCCGATCTCTGCCTCTACATAATGCGCTGCCAAATTGTTTCAGTGCCCCACCCCACCTCTATCAGTATCTGAACAGTCATTAATATCATCATTTTTTTTGGTAATGTATTTATAACGAGGGTATTTTCGAGATACTGACTCCTTCCCAAATTTGAAGGGCAAAATGGGAAAATTTCTAATTCCTCAAACTAACCAACATTAAAGGAACTCTAAAGCAACCTTTTAGTGGTGAAGCTGTCACATGTGTGTTCCACAACTATGGTCGGTTTATAACTAAGGAAAAAGGCATAGAAGCCAACCTTTTTAGTGGTGAAGATGTCATGTGAGTGCCACAACTTAAATTTTTTTAATATAGATTAATGTGGTCAGTTTATAACGAAGGAAATGAGAATAGAAATAAATTTTGTATGAATTAAACATTTTTCAACTCATAATGAATGGTTATTATAAGTAACGATGAATCTCATGCCCTTCGTTATAGAAATGAGACCATGATCATTTTTCTGAAACTCTTGATTGGGTATTATCCATGCAATAGATCATCAAATAAAGAATAAAGATATTGAGAGAATAAATAAAAATAAAGTGATTTTAAGTTTTTGAAAATATATACTTGAGATGTGAGTGACTTGCCTTTACTTAAGATGGGTGACCGTGATCTTACGAGGATCTCTAAGAGTGAAATGTATAATGGGTGTGGATCATTACGACATAAAAAACCAAGGGTTATTGACTTTTTTTTTTCGGTAAGTAGGTTATTGACTTCAACAACTTCAACGGTTGCTGTCACAAATGAACTATAGATTCGGTGATTATTATTTGTAAGATTCGCTCATCATTAATGAACTTTCGACGAGTTCCCTTGTACTATTGTTAAGTCAATATAATGATCCATTAATATTTGAGAATCAACACATAAATCTCTTATCAATGTTTTAAATATAAAAATAATGAACTTAATCTTATTTGGATAAAATACGGATAATTAAGAAATTCAAAACTAGTACAACTCTTGAATTTTGATGAAATTACATGAAGACCCCTTATGTTTGAGAATTCCGTTATTAAATTTTCTTCATTAAATAATTCTTTTGCTCTTATTTGAACAAAAAAGTATGTGAATATAAGATTTGAAACAAAGGTATCTCCTTGAATTTTAGTAGAATAATATAATGACAGCTTACATTTGGGAAATAACATGAAAATCTTTATAAAAAAAGTAATGCTAGATAAACTTAAAAAGTAAACTTAAAAATTAGATTTGATAATTCTCAACCGTTGAATAGATGGTGGGTCATAATAAATGCTGGGACCCACAGTGAAATCAATGGCCGTAATTATCAAGTCTAATTTTTAAGTCATGTATCATTACTCTTATAAAAATTCTCCTTAATAAAACGATACAAACTCTTGTCCATATAAAACTATGGGAAGGAATATGTATGTTACACAACAAAAAACATTGGGCATTATTATACTTTTTAAAGGTTGGGTATACTTTATTTAGTATTTATCTCAAAAAGCCTTTAATGGAAAAAGCTAAAAGAATAAACTTGCTTAGACTAATACGAACACAATATGACAAACACATGATTTGAAATAGGTTGACCAAGACAAAGAGACGACTACTTTACTATGTTGGGCCTACAATTCTAATTTATGCAATACAGATACAAACACAAGTATAAGTACAAGCACGTGTCTAAGTCCCAAGACTGTATGGAAAGGTTTGAGCATTTAAAATGGGCCATGTCATACATAATTGGACAAGAAATTTAAGAATAATGCAAACACGAAATGATGTAAATGTCATCACGTATTTACACAACAAAACACCGATCAGATAACTTGCAATTAACTTTCGAGATTAAGAAGTTTTAATTTTACCACAAAATTTAAGAATGAATGCTGGGTTGGGAAACCTTGAATGGTGTGAGCCGCATGGGGAGAGACCTGGATGTATGTATGATTTTTAGGTGATTTGATCGAATGATCGGCCAGAACCCACCCGACTAAAGGGATTGAGAAATTTGTAAAGTACAAAATATATCTTTAAATTTTTTCTTATTTTAATCATTAGAGAGCGATCACGGGATCACTAAATGAAGTCCTCCGATTCTTCCAAAGGTGTTGACTCGCAGCGAGGTAAAGATGACTAAACTGACATATGAAATAGGACAGAAACAACAATATACTATCATAGAAAGAGGTAATAAGTAGATTCAATAACCCATTAAAACTGATGTATCTGTAACTACATCTCCGAGGGAGGGACAGTCAAACGAGAACATCAATGCGAGATGCCGGCGGAATGATCCGCAGGCTAACCAAAAAGAGTTGTACTTTTGGTAACACAATTAACCAAAATATAAACCACGAATGGATTACACTAATGAGGAGGGTAGTTTTGGGATATTAATTTCTCCCTGATGAGTACTTACTACTCCCTTGGCTGTAAAGGAGGAGTAAATAAATCCCACCTTAACCGCCGGTTGCCTTTCCCATTGCCAGCAACCCTCTTTCGCGCCCTTCCCTAATTTGTACTTCCCTTTTCTCTCTCTACATCTTTCTATTTCTCTCTCTATATCGTTCGGTGTTTCTCCCCCACTCCGACTCTTTATCTTCCTAGGTTCCTCGCCACAGCAACCTCGACTTGGCCGCCGGAAAATTCGATTCTCTGTCTCCGGTGGACGATGTAATTCGTCTTTCTGGCTATATACAACTATCTCTCTATATGTAGGTATGTATCGTTAATTCGTAATAAATACGTTTGTTTCTATCAATGTCTGTGATTGATAATGATTTGTGCTTTACTTAATTGGTTGTAGGTGAGAGATGGATAACAGTAGAAGGCCTTTATCGAAGAGAACTAGGCTTCAAGATGAGATATATTTTAGACGATGTTGGGCGGAGATTCAGGCGAAAAAGAAGGCTGAAAAGGGCGCCGTTGGGGGTGAGTCGTCACGTAGTGGGAGTGGTGGTGGTGGGAGGAGAGGGGTTGGGGCTAGAATTGAGAATGGTGCTTATGATTCTGAGTCTGTGGCTGTTTCTGGTGTTGGTGAAGATGAGAGGGGAGAGAGAGGATCAGAAGTTGCGATAATGGGTGACAATGTGGACGATAATAGGAAAGAACGAGTTGGGTATGTCAATTTTGGGAGTTCAGAAGGGAAGAAGATTGGAAAATCCGAAATGGGTTCTAAGATGACTGAAAAAGACGTTGAAATTAATGGTAATTCCGAGAAAATTCAGATAAAGTTGAAAAAGGGGGTGAAGGAGAAGAAAAAGAAGAAGAATTTGGGTCCAATTGGTGGTGGTTTGAAAAGAAATATGAAATTGGAGAAAAGTTCGAAGAATGTTGAGAATTTGGGTAGAATTGGTGTTGATGACGATGTGAGTGGTATTGACAGTGATAGTGATAGTGAAGTTCAATGCTTGGGTGAAGGGATTGCTTCCAATGGTTCTTCTTTGAAATCGGTGTCTGAGTCGTGGTCAGGGTCTTGTCTGAAGCCGGGGTCTGAGTCGGGGTCAGGTTCTAAGGTGTGGTTTGAGAAAGGGGAGAATTTTGATTTCATGGATGAGAGTAGTGGGGTTAAGACAAATGAAGGGAAGAATAACAGTGTAGTGGATGAAGCACAACCAGAGTTTGGAGATTCAAAGAAGGGAAAGGATGTGAGGGATGCTAATGTCTTTGTTGTTTCGGAGGATTCAGAGAAGTCCATTGATTTAGAGGATTCAGAGGATTATGGTGACTCGGAGGAGACGGAGGAGTCAGAATCCTCTAGTGAGGAGGATAATGATGATCCAGATGATGAGGACTACAGAATGGAGAAGTGGTTCAGCCCAGATGATTGCAGTTCTTCAAGTGAGGATGCAGATGGGGAAGATGAAAACAATGAGTGTGATGTTGTGAAGCGAAAAGATGATGGGAAGAGAAAGGAGAAAATGGTTGATGTGGGATTAAAGAGAAAAAGGAAGAAGGAAGAGGAGGAAGAAGAAAAAGAAGATGATGAAAATAATGATGATGTTGTCGAGATAAACAATGTTAATGGGATGTGGAAGGAGAAAAAGGTTGAGGCTGGATGGATGAAAAAAATCAGAGCTTGTGGGGTAACTGATTCGTATTCATGCTCTTTAAATGATGAGAGGCAAAATGGAAATGGCTGTGGCATTTTAAAGGCTGAAATTGCTGATGGGGAGGAAAAGAAGAGGAGCACTCTGGGTGGGTTAGATAGAAGAAAATTTTGTGGATTGGATATTTTGGTTAATTGTGACAAAGGAGATAATGAAGAGCATAAGACCTTGGTAGAACGTCTTCGATCAAATTCTGTTCCTAAATCTAGAAAGACAAAACAGGAATTTGGGAAGTTTAGTTGCCCTCTCCCTGTTGAAGAGTATGAGGAGCCCGATCCTTCATCTGACAGTGAAGGTGATAATGATGACAACTATAAGGATAATGCAGGCAAAATTGATGAGAAGGGCAAAGAGAAGGTAGTGTCCTCTTCTGAGAGAAAGGATAGTCATGCACCAAAGGATCTTGATTTTCTCCAGATCCTTGCTGATTCTATTTGGGAGACTGGAGATACACTTCGGGCAAAATTAGAATCTCATGGGCAAAAAGCTACAGGTCAAGAGCCGTTGCCCTTGAAGTTCCGATTTGAAGATGAGGATCCAGCTCCGCTGGAGAAACCAGAATGGCAGAAAGACATGGATGATCTTTTTGTAGAGATGGAGATGGCCCTCAGAACCTTGGAGATTGGTTCGGCCCATTCTTCTGTGGTAAGTTCTCATTAGAGCGAAGGATGCACCAAAAAAATACTTATTCCGCCAGTACAACTCTATTCTATGAGTTGAAGTTAATTCAATTTTTTCTGGTGTTGCTTTTGTTTGATTATCATACTCAAAAGTAGCAATTATGCTAATCTGTCTGTTTAGTTCTAGAAAACATAACTGTTTGAGATAAATTTGTAGTAGTCGCTTAACTGTAAATCTAAGTTGTGTTGCTTCTTATCAGGATTCTAGATCTCAGGAGAATTCAAACTATTTGGCTGTTCCCTTCAATTTTTACTGCCATGGCAACCTTTATTTGTTTATGTTTCTTGTCATCTTTTTTTATTTTTTGCACTACAAAAGGTTCGCTAATAGGGCGAAGTTTCTTGGTTCCAATATACCTTGGGGTAGTGCCAAGAAACAACATTGAGGCCAAAATGCTTGAAAGTGAATAGTCCATACAGCCTGTTAAGCTCCTGCACTAGCTGGATGACCTTATGCTTCTTCAATCCCTAAAGATTAATGAATCAGTTCTTTTTAATGAATAGTTTCAATCGCAACTTCGAATACAGAATTTAAAGGGATCAAATAGGAAAGGATACCCTGAATCATAGAACTATAATGAAATATACGATCAACCAACATTTATCGAATTTGAAAAAGAGCCGGACAAAGTGGTTTGATCCTCTTATTTTTTTTTCTTGAACTGAGAGATCCATGGGAGCAAGAATTTCTAGGAACATTTCGTTTCTCAGCAAAAGGCCATTCTCACTGATGGCTGGCCCCCCCCCCCCCCTCTTCGCCCTCCACCTAAGTTGGCATACAGGATTGGCATGGCCAAAAACATGCTACTCTTAATGCAAGGGTTATTGCTATCAAATGTAATCTCATAGCATAAAACATGAGATTCTTCCATTTTGTTTGTTGCATCAGCTTGCGTACGATATCGGGATTGCATACCATGGTTATTAGAATTCACTAAACCCTTAACGACCCATGATCTGGGTACATCAATCCCAAACAAGGTGCGTTCGCGATCCAGAACACCAAAATGGACGATCCTAAATTGTAATACTAACCCTAAATCAATTCGCTTTAGAACATGTAGTACAAATATAAAATACATATTAATTGACTGCATGTATATATTTATAATTATATATTATTTTAGATAATAGAAAATCAAGCACAACTATAAGATAAATAGTAACTAACTTTGTGTTTATGAAAGTTCTATAATATATAATGTTGTATAGTAGTGAAAACGATCTATATAAGAGTTCCAAAACGAATTGCAACCCAAAATACCGTACCAGTTAAACCAACCCCCATCGTACAACGTACCTAAAAAAGGTAACCTTTCAAATATCACATTTAAACCATGAAGAAAATGTTTGCTTTATAACTATCATACCCTTGTTACCATAAATTCCATGTACTATGCTTTAAAGACAAATAGGCCCTGGTAACTGAATATGCTGCGTGGGGGAAAGGGGTACTGTTGACTTCTACTAATTGGCATATTTGAAGCAGGATTCATAAACCTTAGCTCCCTGTACTAAGATGCTGATGGGTTAGAAATATGAACTTACAATGTATATGGTGTTCCTGTCTTATGAGAGGTTTGATTAAACTTGTTATATATGAACTCTATGCTCGTTGATTTTGAGTCAAGCATGCTACTTAATGTTAGTGTGCTTGTTGAATGTTCTTATTTGATACTTAATGTTAGTGTGCAACACAGTTATAACAATAATGACATCAGCACAGCAAAACATTTATGTCAATAGTTGCGAAAATTAATTTCCTAGGTTAGAGGCTTGGGTCATACTTCGTAATTTCCAATTTTCCTTTGTATCCACCGACATCCACAAAAACAAAAAAGTTTATGTGCTGCCCTGAGAAATGATTCTTTACCTTTTATTCTGGATTCCCTGTGAAAATTAAACCATCTTGTTGGGTTCTAGCACCTCTCAATTCCTATTTTCATCTTTTAAGTTCTCATACACAATCACTTGCTCCTGACCTATATATTCATCTTGTCTTCAATTCTGCAGGTTGATAATGATGACATCATGTCCACAGAAACTGAAACAAACCCAGCTGCTCTTTGTCGTCGAGGGGACCACTATCCTATTCTTGATGAAGAAATTGGAATCAGATGCAGATATTGCTCTCTTGTGCTATTGGAGATGAAATATGTCTTACCCACTTTTGTAAGTTACAGGAACGTGTCTCTTTAATGTATATATAAAGTAGTATTGTTTACTTTAGTTCTCTTAATGTTTTTTTATTACTACCTTTCTTAAGTTTTGAGAAAACATTCTAAGGTCTGGCAAAGATGTAACACTCAGACTCATATCAGAGCGATCCATTGAGTGGTAGATTCTGGTGCAGTCCAAATACACTTTTCGGGAACTAGAATCTACAATTGTATTCATTTATGCTTCCTGGCATCTTGACCTATAGTTAGAGCTGGTTTAGCTGACCTGAATCTGCTAACAATAATACACTGGTTTAAGCTCTAGAGATAATTGTGCTGATTTACTGCTCAAAGTATGCTGGGATGTTGGATTTATATTGCAATTTTCTTCTGGTTTTTCCAGGAATCTAATCTGGGAGAAGAGTGGATGTTGACAATAAGTTGGATTTATTATTGTCTTGATTTGGAATGACTTTATTACAAGGAAAAGCAATAAATTGAGTTATCCTTGTGGGATAAGGATTTTTCAGCCATGCCATAAATTTTTTTTTTTTTTGGTTTAGTGTTATCTTTCAATTCATCTCTCCAAGTTTACTAGCTTTTCTTTTCTACCTGACTTCTTATTTATTTGCAAGTTGGAAAGAAATCTTGTCCATATACTCAATCCTCGTTTATCTGATTCTTTCTGAACTTGGGTTTGCATACAGAGTAAGCATTCTTGGGAGAGACAGGGAAAGAAAGACTTTGGCAAATCAGACTGCTACATTTTGGATGATTTTCCATTACAAGATTCTGCTTGTCAAGACCAGTATGGTTCTAAAAGCTCTGATCACACAGAAGGCACTGTGTGGGATATAATTCCTGGTATTAAAGAAAGTATGTATCCTCATCAAAGAGAAGGGTTTGAATTCCTTTGGAGAAACATTGCCGGAGAAATCCGCATTGAGAAGTTGAAACAGTGTCTTCATATTGATGGGAGTCCTATTGATGGGAGGGGATGCATAATCTCGCATGCCCCTGGGACGGGGAAAACTCGTCTGACCATAGTCTTTCTCCAGACACTCATGAAGCGTTACCCAAAATGCCAGCCACTGATTATAGCTCCTCTCAGCATGCTACGCACCTGGGAATATGAGTTCCAGAAATGGAATGTTGACATTCCGTTTCACAATCTGAACAAATTGGAGTTCTCAGGCCAGGAAAATGCAACAGCAATGGAAATCCATAGGCAAGCTGGAAACAGTGGAAGAAGACAAGACTCCATTCGTCTGGGAAAGTTATATTCCTGGACACATGATACAAGTATATTGGGGATCAGTTATGGATTGTTTAAGCAGCTTGTTGGAGGAGGTAAAAACAAAGGAATAGATGAGAAAATTAGGGAAATTCTCCTTAAAATACCTGGCGTATTAGTGCTTGATGAAGGGCACACGCCTCGAAATGACCGTAGCTGTATATGGAAGGATTTGTCAAAAGTTGAAACATGGAGGCGCATAATCCTCTCTGGGACTCCATTCCAGAATAATTTTAGTGAGCTCTACAATACACTCAGATTGGTCAATCCAAATTTTGATGACTGGATCACATCTAGAAGTTGTGGGGGAAGTGGTAAAAATCTTGGGTGGAAAAGAAGCAATATAGCAAGGGGGAAATGGGCCTCTCTGACCAGTTCCATTGGCAAAAATACCGATGAAAAACTGAAGGAGCTTAAAGCCATGATTGAGCCATTTGTGCATGTGTACCAAGGCACAATACTACAAGAGAACCTTCCCGGTTTGAAGGACACTCTGATTATTTTACGGCCCACGGACTTACAGAAGAGCCTCCTGGAAAAGATTCAAAGAAGAAAGAGCTATTTTAAAGTGGAACATTGTGTGTCATTGATCACTATACACCCTTCTCTGCTGCCCAAGTCTTTGCTTGAGGAGGAAGAATTCGGTGCCCAAAGGGCTCAGCTAGAAAAACTTAAATTGGATCCTTATGCTGGAGTGAAAACTGAGTTTGTCATAGAGCTCGTCCGACTTGGTAAGGCTCTGGACGAGAAAGTTCTGGTTTTCAGTCAATTTCTTGATCCCTTGGCCTTCATAATGGAGCGCTTGAAAGCTCATTTTGACTGGAGTGAAGGACGAGAGGTTTTGTATATGCATGGATCTCTTGATGAAAAGCAGCGCCATTCATTAATCAGTGTTTTTAATGATCCTACGAGTGAGGTAAGGGTGCTTCTTGCATCAACAAAAGCTTGTTCCGAAGGAATAAATCTGGTGGGTGCCTCAAGGGTTGTTTTGCTTGATGTTGTTTGGAATCCATCTGTGCAAAGGCAAGCCATAAGTCGGGCATATAGGCTTGGACAAAAGAAACTTGTATATATATACCATCTCATTGCTGGAACAATGGAGGGTGAGAAATTTGTACGACTAGTGGAGAAGGACCGCTTATCTGAGCTGGTATTTACTTCTATGGGCAGAAACAATGATGAGCCAGAAATCTTGCCTACAGTCCCGGAAGACAAGATACTGGAAACAATGGTTCAGCACAGGACGCTGAGTCATATATTTGAAAAAATACTTTACAAACCAAAAGAATCGGATTTGTTTGAAACTTTCAATTTGGTGGATCTGTAGCAGATACTCTGCAAAATTTTTGTTGCTGTGGCACCCAAGAGTCCTTTCACGATGTTGTGACATTCTGTTAAGTAAATCCTTTTGGCTTGTTTTACAGGCTGGTGGCATCAGAATGTTCTGTGGTGGCCAAACTTCTCATGGGCTGATGTATGATGGTATGGCTAGGTTGGTTTATTATTTTTCAAGCTATTGTCATCAATACTATCAAAGGGCTGGTTCTGGGTACACGACTAGTTGTATATTTACTTGTAAAAGGTGCCTCTGATCCCTTGTTCTGCACAAGAGCACAAGGGTTTGAAGAGATTAATTGAATTCGTAGAAATTTTTGGAGACCAATTATGTGGCAAGCAGATTATAGTCCGTGGAAGTCGTAAATTAACTGCTTATAATTGCTGTGTATGCAGTGTCTTGTATGCCAATAGTTCTCTGTGTTAGTCCTCCATATTGGCATCTTTGGAGTCTTGTACACAAGCATTAACAACAGCAATAGCTTTAATTGTAGATTACATTAGAGAAATCTAATTAAAATGGATTGGCCACATGCAGTAAAAACTAATTAGTGCACCAGTGTAAGATTTACACTGAATATAGAATATTTAGTCTTTACTACGTTCCTCAAAGAAGGATTGCGCCACAAACATTTTATATTCATGGTTTTCAAGCAAGGAAGCCTTTGCAATGTGCAAAAGTGAAATTGGATAGTGAAAGTTTTATTTGCATTCATCTTTATTTGCTTATGAATGTTGCTGATCGAGGGTGAAGAGTTTTCAGCAGTTAATCACACAGTCGTCAGGATTATACTTTTCTCATTGCATTTCTTTCATTTTCATGCATCGTTATTTTCCTTTCTGTTTCATCATTCTATTGCTACATGCGAAGGGTGCTACAACTTTAAATATGTAAACCCAAGCGCAGGTTGTGCGAAGTAATATAAACTCGAAAGACCGAGGTTGAACCCTCGGGGAAGTGTAAAAATAATAGTTGTCACACTAAATCTGTTAACAAACTTGTAGAAATATTTTTCAAAAAGAGTGTTTGAATTGGTATAAGTAAATGAATTAATTAAAACAATTTGTAAAGTACTAGAGCATCAGGTATACCCCTTAAATTCATACAGTAATGATTAAAAATTTAGTTTTCAAACTTAAACAAGAGTCGAACTGTCAACTAACTCAAGTCAGTGAATTTAGTAATGAGAACAAGAAAACACAACTATTTATAACTAAAAGTTTATTCAGAAAAATTAAAGAACTGATTGTCGATTGTAAGCATTTATTGTACCCGAAGTCTACCATAGATCAAACTTTCTTAGTAATCAAATTCCTGGCTTAACCACACAATTCTCCAGCTGTATTATTATGTGAAATAAATTGTAATTAACTAAAGTAAGGAATAACTAGTTATTTGTCTTGCAGGAAAATTCAAGTAATCAAAGTATAAGACACAATGACTCAGGAATCTTTACAAAACAAAAATTTTACTAATAATCAAAAGTTAAATTAACAAAATACCACATACCATTAAACTAATAAGTCAATAACAATACCGTACTTCATTGAGAGATTTTTCCCTAACCTTAATCAGAAAGCCTAGTCAAACATCTTAAACTTCAACCAGAATAAGAATAAAATTAATTAAAAAGTCGTCCCCTTACATCATAATGATCCCCCTATTTATATTTTTTTAGTCCAAGAAGTTTGATCACATTCTACTTCTTCCTCTAGAATTCCATCTTTCAGAAACACGCGTCTGGACACATGATATCAACCTTCCTGACGCACTTGACAGTATGCTCCAATTCTTTAAAACACGTCTATCTTTTCATTCTGTTAATCCCCTGTTTGGACACGTATTCCAGTGAGTCTAACTCAACTGCTCTTCTTTATCCACTTTTATTTCTCTATTTTTTTTAATTATTTTCCAACAAAATAAACAGAATTCTTCTATTACTATCATAATAACAAATCTTTAATAAATCATCACATTTACCACCTTTTTCTGAATAAATGATTAATCTTTTCCGTCAAATAATCACATTATGGGATCATAATCTAAGGATGTGGGGGATTTACCTAATGTATTTACCTTTACCTAATGTATTTACCATACTGTCATACTGATCAACTAATCCAGACCTCAGAGCATCCAAGTGAAGAAATATTGACTTAGTTATCGTAAGAAAGAAGTAGGATTGACGTGAGGTGAGTTAGATGTTATACATTACCAGTTTGAGAAGTAGAATTTTTTAACAGTGGTACCTAAAATACAGTTTAGAGATGACTGTCCGGGAAGGGAAGAAGTCTTTCAAGGACCCGACTTTCAGTACAATACATGAAGCATTAGGGAATAAAAGTTTCAATTGCTAAGATCCAAAGATCTATTTTGCAGTTTCTTTGTTTTAAATGTTTATCTTAGTGCTAGTTTGGTGTTTTTTTTCACTACCCCCCTCTGCCTTCGACCATGAAGAAGGTGTTTGCAGTGTAAATTGATCAATTTTTGTTTTTCCATTTTACCTTCTTTGGTGTAACGATTGCAAATACCTGCAACAAAGGGCAGCAGTGGACGTTACTATGTTCTCTCTCTTCCCCCCCCCCACTCTCTTCTTTTCTATTTGAGTCTGGATTTTTCAGAAGCTAATTAATCGGGATTAGTTCTTACATGGAACTTTGTTTAGCTTCATTGCAAAAGCTATGCCTCTGCTTTGCAGTTTGTCATTGTAGTAAGTTTTATGCAATTTTTACGCGATTCTTTTACTTCATATTGTACTAAATGTAAGTTCTACTTGGTGTGGGAGAACTTGAACCAGGAAACGGTCCCCATTCCAGCTAAATCGTTTCAGGGCAACTTGGCCCCTTCAACTACTTAGGGGCAGGGTCGAAGATGATGGAGCAACATAACAGTTTGAGGCAAGAGCACTACTTTAGTGTTCTTATGGTTGAAATTCATGTAACTTTAAAAACCAAAGATTAAAAAAAAAAAAAAAAAAAAAAAAA